ACAGGTGGCAGAGGCAAGAGGATAGGAATTCCTTCCCTCCCCATCACCATCACATGACAGATTTGGGGGTGTGGCCAGCTCTCCCACTGGCAGGGCTCTCTCATCTGCGCCTCTGCCAACAGGGTCAGCTCTACTGAGCTGTCCAGGTGAGGAACAGGGCCTGCTTTCAGCTTCTCGGAGAGTTGTAGATAGTAAGGGGGAGGAGGAACAGCTCCTTCCTCTATGGTAGGTGGTGAGCGAGGGTAAAAGGGGGGGTAATCCCCCACACATACATGTTGCCCACACTGCTGTATGACAGATGAATGAATAACGGGGGCATCTTTCCCTTGCTCACAACTTCGGGGCTATCTCACTGCATCTGCACCAACAGGGTTGACTTTATCGTGCTGCTTAAGTATTTAGGTCTTGATCTCAAGTATTGCAACTGGTAGGGGGCAGGAGCAGCTCCCAACCTGCTGCAGGTGGGAGCTAATTTCAACAAAAAGAAAAATAAATTTATTCTTAACAGGCCTAATCATACAGCATGATGAGTATTGGCCTTTTTTTCATTGAAAACCCCACTAAGGGGCACTCTCTCCTCATTCAGATAGGTTATAATGACTAGTTGAAATGAAATAATTACAAGAGGGAAATCCCACATCACCAACACACAGAGGGGAATCCACAACAATCAGGCCCCTTCATCTGCAGATTCATCTCACCTGGTATCTTAGTTAGGGTTTCTATTGCTACAACGAAACACTATGAAAGAAAAAAGAAGTTGGGGAGGAAAGGGTTAGCTCACACTTCCACATTGCTGCTCATCAAGAAGGAAATCAGGACAGGAACTCAAACAGGGCAGGAACCTGGAGGCAGGAGCTGATGCAGAGGCCATGAAGGAGAGTGGCTTACTGGTTTGCTTCACATGGCTTGCTCAGCCCACCTTCTTATAGGAACTCAGGAGGACCAGCTGCCCAGGGATGGCACCACCCACCATGGGCTGGATTGATCCCTAATTGAGAAAATGCCTTACAGTTGGATTTCACAAAGGCATTTCCTCAGCTGAGGCTCTCTCCTCTCCGATGACTCTTGCTTGTGTCAAGTTGACATGAAACCAGTCAGTACACCTGGTTCTCAATTTTATCTTGATTTTTGAAAGTGCTGAAACATTCAGGCCATCTGATTACCTCTGGCAGACCAGGGATTGATTAACTAACTAAGTGGTAGTTCTTGATTTATAAAATCCTACAAAAACCTGAATGTCTGAGGAGAGAGGGGAGGTCCTTCGGGTGTGTGAAGAGCTTAGCTGTTAGAATCTTCGTATTCCGAAGTGAGATCTAATAATGACCTCAGATATAACTCTAAAAATCAACTAAACAACAGAATTTAGAAATCCTCTCTTTTTCTATTATCTTACTCACAAGCAATGGCTCACCTGGAAATTCTAAACATCCATGGCTTGCAAAATTACATCTATGCAATTTCAGAAAAGACTTTAAATTTTGAATACAATGTCTACTTTGTCATAGTCTGATAAACCTTTAGATTTTTTTCCTATTTTTTCAAATGCTAGATTGTTTCTCTCCTTTAAAATTTATTAAAGAAGTCATCTTAGTCGTTGTAAAATAGAATTTTACTGTAGTGAGGAATCATATACTCATCTTCTCTCCTTTCTTCTTCACCAAATTCCAGAGAAGAGAAATGGAGCCCTTAAGAGCCTGGACTTCTAGTGGCAAGGAAAAGATAGTTAAGTCTAGGTCCCAAGGTTGTACCACCCAGTGCTCTATCAGATGTGTTCAATGCAAGCATTAGTTCTTCATCTCACTTAGGGCCTTAGGAGTGTTACACAACCCAATGATTGTTCAGTTTCTTTATATTTTATAGTCCCAAGTAGTACACACTGAACAGAGTGTGAAGATGGAGTTTCACTACTGATCCTATATGGCGGTAAGAGAAAAGGATTTTCAGTAGTGAGATTTGAGCTTTGAGCATTCAAGTGTTTCTAATTCTATGCTGTCGACGACAGACATCTACTAGTTACTTAGCACTTATGAATCATGTTATAATTTCAAAATACCTTTCTATCAATAGCAACTTCGTAGCATGAATCAGACTAGTTTTTTTTTATTTCCTCCTCCCCAAACAGCTGTCTTGGTCCCACAGAATGATTGCAGAGTTTCACATATGTTTAGCTGTTCGAACTTTTGAAGTCTATCTATATCACTTGTTCTCAACCTATGGGTGGCAACCCTTTGGGAGTCAAATGATATCAGATAGCCTGCATAATGATATTTATATTATGATCCATAACAGTAACAAAATCAAGGTTATGGAGTAGCAACAAAATAATCTTATGGTTGGGGTCACCATAACAGGAGGAACTGTACTGAAGGGTCGCAGGTTGAGAGCCACTGACCTATAGGATGCAAGTCAAAAATTTTGCATGAAGGATGGGATCGGTCTTACCTTTGGAATTCCTGGTGGCAAAGGACAAGATTGGAGGGCTAGTAGCAAGGGAGTCTGAGGCATGGTGGAGAACTTCCTCTCTAAAGGCATAGCCTCCAATAGAATTTAGTGTGCTAGCTCATCCCTAGTTCCTAGAGCCTTGGAGAACCCTACTTCAGTCTGAAGATGTGCTGTAGTACAAGGTGCTGTGGAAACGGAAGGTCTGTTGACATGGTCCATTTCACGCCTTCCTGATCTTAACCTGAAGGAGGAAATGATGAATTCTTGGGGGAGCACAAGCACACTTTAACAGCCTGCTAACTCAGGGTTCTTCTTCTCATTGGTTATTGACAAGAGCAGACACCGCTGAATGCGCCTTCTGGTATAAGGATTCTGAGCACGAACCCAGAAGCAATTCCAAACCTGGACTAAGAATAAGGCTTTCCTTTGGCATGACTCAAATAGAAAAGCTCTTTGACTGACAACCTTTGAGTTAGAGTCACATGCCAGTCTTTTCTTTGTCCCACAAAGGCAATGTAAGCACCAAGATAAAACCAGACTCTTTGATTCTCTGCTTTCTCTCCTCAGCGACCTCCAAACTCAACCCCCACCCCAGGAACAGTAAGTTTTCCTTAAGGCATTGATTTCAAAGAAAGAGCACTTTATATAAGCAAATTTAGGGATTCGAGGGCTTGGAAGAGGCACTAAAAATTACTGTCAGTTCTTGCCTTGAAACTCTGTCGCCATGGTACACAGTGCTTGCCAACTGGCCCTATAAATCTCATTACCTTCTTCTTTCCTTATCTTCCTCCCAAATTAAAATGCTAATTTAGCAACAGGCATAGGCAATTTCAGAATGAAACCTAATGGTCATTCTGACCCTTCACTGCCAACAATACACTGAAGATGTGTCCCCTTGACTTAGATCTTTGAAGACATAGAGTGTTACATTGTGCTGGTGTGCGTTTAGATTACCATCTCTCCTGCTTTGGTGTTTTAAAGGCTTTCTGAGTATTTGCAGCAACACCTGATAGGGATTCTGGCTCACCTCAGTCAACAATCCCCCGATCTGTTCAATGAAACCCTCGTTTCAAAATCCTGATGGATCTTGAACTGTAATGCCTCAACTCCATACCTATAGGAGACCTCAGTCACACTTCCAGATGGTTCACAGGTGCAGGAGAAGCCTGTTCCTGATCTTGTGTAGCCTTTACCCTCAGCCCTCTCCTTTTCCTGCCTCCACACAAGTGCAAACCTTCAGGGTGTCAGACGAAGAGCATAACCAGTCTCTATTACTTAGGCTTTGGGCCCGTTTTCATTGAAGGCCATTTACATAGTCCAGACTTCGGGATGAAAGTCTAAGGGGGCATTCTTCCTTTTGCTCAAAGAGTTAAGCAAGCCTAGGGCTTACAATGATTTCTAACAAAACACATTTCTGTTATTGAGCATTCTGGGTTCACAAAAGGAACCAAAAATTAAGCAACGGCAACAGAGAAGCTCGTTTTGGTAGATAGAACTGTTGAAAATTGCAACGGCAATGCTGCAGAAAGCAAATAGAACGAGGAAACGGCAAAAAGTTCACACCAGCTACCGCAAGGCATTTGCAGACGATTAAATAAAGTTAATCCAAAACAATCATCTCGTTAACTGGAACCTTGGGTTGTGGGGGAGGTGGGAATATTTCCACCCGCTAAGATACCCATTGCCATTCTCTGTATCTTTAGCACTGGCTGCCAATGAATATTCGTGCAATGAATGGAACACCTGCCAAACTCTCCGATGTTTCCAAACAAACTCTAAAATGCTGTAACAATCACTTCTGTGCACGCAGGCCCCATCTATTGCAAGCTCTGCGGATGAGAAATAGCTTGACTTAAGGTGAAGCGTGGGACTTCAGTTGGCCATAGTTCATTTGGTTGCACAGTGGGAAAGTGGGAAGGGAAACAAGCTCCTTAGAAACAGAAGGTCAGCCTGCAGGCTTGACTTCTACATTATTGCTTGACAGGTTTCTACCCAACTTCTCCGTCCCCATCTGTGGATCTGAGGTACCCTAACAGTTAGCCAGGGGCAATTCTGTGGTTTTGACAGGGAAGCCCCTCCCTAGGGCGCCACGTCCACCTCCCTTTCTCGCCCGCACCTGCCATGCTGCCTCTTTCTTCTCTGACAAGAAGCAGAGGTCAAAGCTCTTTCCTGTGTGGTGATGAAAAGCTCCCAGGACTAGCCTCCTCCTGGATCCAGGGAATGCCTCTAGGATTCCTGTGGGCGCGCTCGCCCCCTTGATTCTCACAACTCCATAGCCGCTACTCTGGCTCTTGCCTGACACTTAAGAAGCATCTCAGGGTAGCCACCTTTGCGCCCCGGGGCACCAGCAGCGCCCGCTGGATAGGGAATCAGAGGCGGGAAAGGGAATGGGGGGCTTGAGGACTTCCTGGCTTCAGCTGCAGCAGCTGCAGCAGCGGGCAGAGGGGTGGAGGGTACTGAGCAGGGCTGGAGTCGGGGCCAGGAGGGAGGGAGAGAAGGCGGCGGGGAGTGTATGCGTGTGTGTCGGGGGAGGGGGAGGAAGGGGGGGTGTTGAGGCTGTGCCAGGCGAGCCGGAGGGGTGCTCCGCGCTCCCCCGCCCTCCTTCCGGGAGCGAGGATGCAGACTCTAGAACTGGTGCTGCTGGGCTGAGGAGGAGGCAGGGGAGTTGCAACGCGAGTGTGTCTCCTGCGCGCCCAGAGGCGGGGGGAGGCGGAGGACCAGGAGGCGGAGGAGGAGGGGGAGAATGCCTGGAGCTGCCGCCGCCGCCGCCGCGATGCTCCCGGCTCAGGAGGCTGCCAAGCTGTACCACACCAACTATGTGCGGAACTCGCGGGCCATCGGCGTGCTGTGGGCCATCTTCACCATCTGCTTTGCCATCGTCAACGTGGTGTGCTTCATCCAGCCCTACTGGATCGGCGACGGCGTGGATACCCCGCAAGCCGGCTATTTCGGGCTCTTTCACTACTGCATCGGCAACGGCTTCTCCCGGGAGCTGACCTGCAGGGGCAGCTTCACGGACTTCTCCACGCTGCCCTCGGGCGCCTTCAAAGCTGCCTCGTTCTTCATCGGCCTCTCCATGATGCTCATCATCGCCTGTATCGTTTGCTTTACCCTCTTCTTCTTCTGCAACACAGCCACCGTGTATAAGATCTGTGCTTGGATGCAGCTCACCTCCGGTGAGTGCGCGCTCACCTCCGCGGAGGCGGGGGACCCCTGGGTGTCCTAGCTCGGGAGGGGCTGGAGTGGGAGGGACCGCTCCCTGAGCTCTGCAGTCCGGACAACTTAATCCTCTCTCAGGCTGAGGGGTGTGGAAGGAGGAACCCCCGGGTTCCTCAGCCTTGGCACGGGTGCCAGGTCCCCAGGCTTTTCCGAACCTCCGGAGTGCTAGGGACGCCACCCAGAGGGACGCCCTGGAGGCTGAGCCCTTGTTGGGCAGAGTCCGCTCAGAACTAAAGATGGGATTGGGGGGTGGAGAAGTCGCCGCTTAGAGACAAGCTGTGTGTGTGTGTGTGTGTGTGTGTGTGTGTGTGTGTGTGACTAGGAAAGACTGGTACAAGCGGGTGAAAAGCGGATTTAGAGATGCTGTAGTCGAAGGATCAAGCCAGTCTGTTTAGTCCTTCCTGGGATTATTTCTGTCTTTGCTTCAGGATGTGTGTGTGAGGGGGGCGTGTAAATTTGTCTTGGGCAACCATAAATATTTTATCATCCATCTGGTGATGAGTAAAATCTAATTTTGCTAAGTCCGCTCCCCCCCTCGGGTTTTCTTTAAAATAAAAAATGTAGCTTAGAGTGTTCCTTAGCAGTTCTTCAAAGCCACACCCCCAGAGTCTCCTTGTCAGCCAAGGTCCTTCCATCTTATCTCTAAACAGATTGGGAGGTCTTGAGGGAGTCGGGATTTCTCAAGATCTCATTTGGGGGAAGCCCTGTTGGGAAAGTGGATATGGGGAAAGGCGGTCCTTCAGCATGGCCGCACTCCTATCCATACAGGGTAGATTGTTGCCAGCTGAGCAATAGGAAGCCCCCGTCCCCCCAGCATCAAAGTTACTTTCAATCAAGAAATAATTATGAGTCCATTTTCTGGTGGCTTCGAAGAGTGCTGAACACACTGGTCTTCTGACACCTCCCTTGCTGGCACTGTACCTGCCTCCTCTTCTGAAATCAGGGTCCTTGAGTTCCTGACACATTGCTGAAGTCCTTTGGATTGGAGGGACCTTGATGGTCTCTGGCGGTTAGACGTCTTCATTTATGTGTTATTATTGTTTAAGTCACTGAGCTTTAAGATATTGTTTCTTCTATAGTTGAAGTCTCCCAGGAGAGGGGGGATTTAACCACTGAGTTTATCTCTAAGTGTGCGAGGAAAGAGTTAAAGGTGCTGGGCCATGCTAAGGTTGCTGTTATTTTTGCCAGACTATTGCAGAGCCTGGCCTCGGTGTTCCTAAGAACTGGGATCACAGGCACTGTATGTGTTTCTGGGAAGGTTCATAATCTTGTTAATTTCGTGGAAGAAGTGAAGCCTATGTGAGCCTAACGCATATTGGAGTGTTAGTTTTAGCTTTGTCTTGTTAATTTTGTTTTTAGTGTGAAAGTATGTGTGTGAAAAGCAAGGGATGAGGTGCTGTCTTCTTCCTGTATGTAAATGAGGGTATTTGCCTTTTACCCCTCTACCTCCCCAACCTGAACGAATTGCTTGCTCTGTGTCTTTTTACTTTGTTAATTTGAGGGGTGTTTCAGCAGCAGAATGACTGAGATTTTCAGTAGACTCAGATATTCTACCTGTTCGCGATACTTTCCTCTGCTTTGACTTCAAAAAGAACAGTGCAAACAGGATGCATATGTTGACTTGACCCTACACTGCTAATTTTAATTCTTCTAAGTTAAATGACCTATTTAGACTAGTGATTCAAATTAGATTACTTCTCAGACCTCTGTAAGGTCTGAGAGTGCTTTGTGGTACTTCTGCAAAAACACATAGTTAAAAGCTTTATTTTGGTGGAGTTTTATATTCTAAAACTACATTTTTAAGTACAAATAAAGAAAGAAAGCTATCTTTTGAGGGAAATCATCACTTTCAAAGTTAGCATACACTTCATTGTAGCCTTTTCCTTTTTCCTGAAACAGATTACGTAGAACATAATAAACGCTGGAGCAATGAAACATGATGTTAGGTATGCAGACACTTGTCATAAATTTACTATTTTGATTTCCATTCCATTAAAATGTGATGATAATGTTTGTACTGCAGTACATATGAGGGAATTTTCTCCATCCGGAGAATTTAGGATCCTTACAAGGTATGTTTTAAAAACCCTCTGAAATCTGTTATTTTACTTCTAGTTTCATTTGTTAACTAACTATATTAATAAAATGATGGCTTATGACAAGTGATCAATTAAGAATCAAATCAGGTATATCTACAAATTTTAAAGGAATGAGATCTAAAAGATATTTATGAGGAATGCTATATTCAACATGGGTTTTAGTTTTTATTAATTTGGGGGATGCAAGAAATGTATCATAGTATATGATGTACCAAACATTCTCTGGAAGTGATGATGAACTTTGGATGTCTTCTTTTTTAGTACTCTTTAATGTTCATAAAATTTTCATATTTATAATTTAATTACCCAGAATAATCTAAAGGAACATTTTCTAAATATGAAAGGTGAGATTTAATGAAGTATTTTATTATTGGATACTTTTTAACCTTAATTTGAAGCTAAATAACTAACATGTGTGTGTGTGTGTGTGTGTGTGTGCGTGTGCGCATGCACAGGCGTGAGGTTATCTAATTATTTTTAACATGGTAGCATCGTAAGTCAAGTAAAGTATCAAGTCCTAAATGAGGTGATACATTAAGATGATGAATGTAGGTTGTTTTGTAACAATATGATATCAAGAATTTTTAATGAGCCTGGTGCAGTCATGTATGCCTTTAACCCAGTGCACAAGAGGCAGAGGCAAGTGAATCTCTGTAAGTATGAGGCCAGCCTGGACTACATAGTAATTTCCAGGACAGTCAGATCTATGAAGAGAAACCCTGTACCTCTGTCTTGGAGGCCAGCCTCCAGCAGCACAGGGCTTTGATAGAAATCCACTATCTGGGGGGTAGTTAGGGGGAAAGGCACTCACACAGGCTCTTGATGTGTTCCTTCTTTATTCTTTTTATTCTCTCTCTATCTCATGTTGTTATACAGCTTTAATACCCCAACAGAATCTTCCAGGCAGTACCAGAGTCAAAACAGCTGCATTCCATTTTTCAAGTGAATGATTATAGGGAAATCATGTTTTTCATCTCCCTCACATTATTAAACATTTTATGTATTACAGGTGAAAAACAAAGTATCCCAAGAACCCACATATATTCATACCCAAGAAACTTGTTATAGATTAACCATGTGGCAAGCAAGGTGTTCTTGTCAGATCTTTTACTGGGAAGCTGCATTTTGCAGTTACAAAGAAAGGGCCAATGACTTTATTACTTACCTTGAAAAGTAATCTTATAAGGAATCACAAACCTAAATGTTTATATAGGAAAAAGAATCAGTCAGCTCTGCTTTAAATCTTTAGGGTACATTTCCATTCATTAATAGTTTTAAATCAGGAGTTTGAGGGTAGAAGTGAGTATAAGGAATTAATCACATCACCCTTGGTCATCAACCAAAGCTAGCAAGGGCAGTATGTCAGCCAGTAGTAATTAGGCTGCTGTGCTCTTATACCCCAACCTTAAAGAGGTCTTCATTCAACTGTGTGCCTTTTTAAAACTTTAGATTGCCTTCTTGGGAATTTTGCCTCATAATTATTTAACAAAAACATCTTAGTCTAACTTTGTTATTTTCAAAGTTTTGTTTCAGCTGCAATGCACTCTGAGACCCATGAACACATCTTGCAGAATTAAGGTTAAAAGAATTTAAACTAGCTGGGCTACTGGGACTCAAATGTTAGTCATTAACTTGAACTCCAATCCATGCAGTGCCTTAGGCAAGACTCACAAACCCTGGCTGTGAAACATATCCTTGTGTTTATTTTTATTCATCAAAACTCTGTAAAGTCTCTCATTATTATTATCAAATTAGACAGCACAGCTTAGGGAGGGGTCATCTTGATAATCCACAGGTAAAAATGTCTAGTAGAACAGGATGTTTCCAAGAGATAAACGCACTATATTACAAGCAGTGGAGATCTCCTCATGTCCACTCACACCATGCTAGATACTAGAGAAAGAGAGCCGCAGCAAACATGTAAAGGCACACAGAAGCAAAAGACATTCCCAGGTCTGCAGTCTCGTGGCCTTGCCTAGACCAGATTGTCTCATCAGAAGATTCCCTTCTGGTGTGCTGACACCTGAAACTTCAATTGAAACTCACTTCTCCTTTGGCATGGCCAACAGCAACCCTGTCCCAAAACTAATCCCGGCAATCGGAAGGCAGAGGCAGGTGGATCTCTGTAAGTATGAGGCCAGCTTGGACTATATATTAAGTTCCAGGACAGTCATATCTGTGAAGAGAGACTCTGTCTCAAAACAAAACAAAACACCAAAAACAAACAAACCAAAAAACCCCCCAAACAAACAAAACAAAACAAAATGAAGAGGAGGAGGAGGAGGAGGAGGAGAAGGAGGAGGAGGAGGGGGAGAAAGAAGGAGGAGGAAGAGAAGGGAAACTTTTTAGAAACTAATATGTCACTCTGCCTTTGGGAGTAAACACACACACACACGGACTATGCCTAGTATAGAGACTTGGGGAATAAAATAATGGATGGGATAAATAATGATGCAAACCTTTCTCATATCTACAGACAGAAAACTCTTTGAAAAGAAAAGATAAACTTTTTTCTTTTGTGATTTCTGTAACACAAAGGGAAACTGTATCTGTAATTGTCAGGTGAGATAATGAAGTCCCATTTCTTCCTTAAGTCAACAGCAAAGGGAACTTGACTACTCAAACACTTCATTCTCTATCACTGTCTCTCTGAAGAAATGTTCCAATCTCCAGGATTATATAATATCCCAATATTCCCAAGGTCCAGGAATAGCCAAACTCTACAGAGATGTTTTATTTGCTTGACTTACTCATTGTAGATCTTAAGTTGTTTCTAGAAATTACATGGCCAAGGGGATATTTTCTTTTTCATCGGCTAAGATATGGTAGAATTTAAGGCTTTGTCTCTGCTCCAGACT